TCAAGTTTCAGCATCAGAAATTCCAGTTTGCTCCAGGTATTATGTTTTCAGTATCCTTTTCTAAATGGTTCAATAGCAGTCTGATTTTCTGCTAAATGAATTTTTCTGTAACTTCAGAAAATTCAACTTCCAATTTCTAAAAATTTTCCCTTCTACAGTACGAATACAATCGTCCCTTATTTTTTGTCTGTGAATGCATGAAGGGTCGCGATTGTGATCTAATGAGGAAATGGTCGACTGCGAATGGTGCCCTTCCACATAAACAAACCAGAAAGCGCGGGAGATTGTGACAAAGGATTTGTCTTGCATAATCTCGAGAACTGTTGGCTGCTGCAGTTTGCGGATAATGGTGACCCCAACATCGAGTCAACGCCTACATATTTTTGTGCCATCGTATTTCCAGGAATGCCATTCTAACGCCGAGATCGTCTTTCACAGCAGTATTATACAATAGTGGACGTGCGGTTTTGATTAATCACAGAACCAGAAAAGCATTCAGTCTGTTGTCTGTTTGGCCGCGGACTTTCGGAAAGGTCAAAAATCGACCTTCTCAAGGACGAATTTTGCACAGATGAACTCCCACCTAAAAAATGCACCTGTTACTCCAGGATTTAAAAAAAAATTCGAATTTTTCCAAATTCTGACCTTATAGACAGTTTATATGCCTCCAACATCACTGCGCGAATGTTTTGCTGGGGAAAAACACGGGAAAAAACACGGAGTTGATAATTGATAGGAGGGCTGAAGCCTGGATTACTGTGAAATGCAGTCAAACTTTCCTGGTAATTTTAATTAAATTTAAAAAGAAAGACCGGTGCTAAAATCCTCACTAAATGATACTTGCTACTGAACAGTTCACCACAAGAAGGAAACGACGAGCCGGGCGATATCCGGAGAGCTGGTCACTGGAGGCGTGGGAAGCAGAGTGAAAAAGTCTTGCAGGGCTGTTCAAATCGACGTGTGGATTCATTCCAGTAATACTACTAGTACACAAAAGCGTATCAAGGAGTTTTCAGTTGTTTAAAAATCCTAAAGATAAATTTTACTCAGGATTATGTTGGGACTGCTGCGTCGTAGACTCGCACATAGCACGCTGGAGATTATGATAGAAAATTTGGGTGATTTTGATGAGGTAAATCATTAATTTTTTCTTAAACTTTCATGACGTTTGATTCACATGCAAACTATGGCCTTCAGCTGATTGCCTGACTTTTTTGGATGGCCGTTGGTCCCGTTCAAACGTTGTTGTCCTTGAATGGCCGGTCCCAGATGTTTTCGTGAAGCAGCAGCCAAACGAATGATTGATGATAGCATACATCCTTGAACAACAAAGCAATTACTGAATAATTACAGTTCCAGAAGATTCGAGTTTGTCAAGGACCTGAAGATGGAGAGATTGGAAGATTGCAGGTGTAGATTTGACCCCGGGTCAACATCTGCATACTGCTGTAGTAAACAATTCTAGACAGTTGCGCAAGAATCTGCGCTGCTGGATGCCATGACAACGACATCATACAATCCAGCATTTCCTCAGCATATTCCTTCAAACTTTCATGCATTTTAAGTTACAGAAAAGGAGAGAGGATTTTTAAAAATTAAAAAAGCAAATTTTTGAATTTGTAAAAAATTTTTTTAGCTAAAAATTAATTTAAAGAAAAAGATACGATGAATAAAATATTTTTGAGTATGAACATTTTCAGCTGAAACTCCGAGTCCGCAAAAGTTGGTAAGGCACGGTCTTCCAGATAGTGCACGGTGAGTAAAAATTTATAAATACTAATAAAATAGAGAGAGCGATCCATAAAATTAGCACCATAACTGCACTGCAAATGGATGTATAGAAATATTAATAAGTAATCA